GGCTCTTTGGGAGAAAGACCTGGAGATCTGCTCCTGTAAAGATTACAGCCTAGAAAACTCTATGCGGCAGTTATACTCTGTCACATGGGGTCACTATGAGTAAAAAGCAACTTGACAGCACCTAACAACAATATACTTTAAATATATAGTTTATTATATGTCAGTTATACCACAATAAAGCTGTAAAAGAAAATCTGATTTTTGTCCAAGGGGAAAAAGATTCCTCTGTATTTACCCTACTATACAACAATTTTGTTTTCAATTATAGTTTATATTTCAATTCCCAAGGAAACCTTTATGGAATGTTCCCATATTTTGGATACACAGCCTTGGCAAACGTATTTCATAAGTCTTCAAACACACACACTTAAGTCTGGGAGAGAGTATCGGAGCCAATGTCTGTCTTATTTTTGTAGCATTTTTCCAAGAACAGTTATATTTAGCTCTAAAATATAATAGCTTCAGCATATACATTTGATGATATAATTATTAATCAGGTCCCAGGATTTTCCTAAGAAGTCTAGGCCACTGTAAAACTGAGCTTGACATCCTATTGTGAATACTGTGTGTGTTTAAGTAACCTGCTTTTGATACTTAACACAATTGAAAACCACATGCACTGTATGGGTCAGCAGAAAAATCAACCTGGTTGTCAAGAGTTCTGGAGTCCCGTCAGCCACAACTCTCTGTCCCCACCAGCATGTATTTCTCACTGAGAAAGTTCATACTTAATGATCAAGTCACTAAATGGCAGTTTTCCTGGATTACAGAACTTTAGAGATAGATAGGGCCTTCAGACAGCCCAGACCAGTTGCCACTGAGTTGACTCTGACTCATGGCAACCTCATAAGTGTGAGAATATAACTGTGCTTCACAGAGTTTTCAATGGCTGATTTTTAGGAAGTAGACTGTCTGGCCTTTCTTCCTGGGCACCTCTGGGTGAACTTGAACCTTCAACCTTTCAGTTAGCAACCAAGCATGTTAATCATCACATCACCCAGGGACTAGAGATCATGAAATCCAACCCCCATATTTTTCAGTTAAAGGAATAAAGGCCCAGGAGAGTGAAATCATTTGCTAATTCAAGATAGAGCTGGAGCTAGAATTCAAATGTCCTGACTTCTAACCTTTTATCCTTTAATAAACTGCCTATGCCAGTCTCTCTATGTGGATATATGATCAAATAATTACAGGAAAACTAGAGTTAACCTATAAAACAGCCTAGTAAAGTTTGTGGAAATTTTGAAGTCTTAACATTACATAATATTTATGTGAACAAGTCATCGACCAAAAATTAAGTCTCTTCACAGAAAAATCTCAGTTAAACCAAACTAGAACAAGTGTGGATTGTGTAGCTTGGAAATTATTTTCCAGTACTCTTTTTTTTCCTTTCCAAGTTTACAACCTTTCCAGTAACTTCTCTGTCAATGAGGGCATTGAGGTACACTAACACCCTATATTCTTTACTTCTGAGTTAAAGGAAGGAAGAAGAGAGGGAAAATGAAAGAAGCAAGAGAACCAAAAAAACACATCTCTTTTTAAAACACAAGCCACTTGGTAAATGTTGAGAAATGGCTCAATGTCTTATCTGAAGAAGTCAACTGATAGTTGAAGATGCCACAAGTAATCTATTTTTATGACCTTTTTTTTTAAATTGTGGTAAAATATACATAACATAAAATTTGCCATTTTAACCATTTTAAAGTGTACAATTCAGTGGCATTAATTACATTCACAGTGTTGTGCAACCATCACCATTATCTATTTCCAAAACATTTTTATCACAAACAGAAATTCTGTACCCATTAAGAAATAGCTCTCTATTCCTCCACCCTCCAGCGCCTGGTAACCACTAATCTACTTTTGTCTCTACGCATTTGCCAATTGTAGGTATTTCAAATAAGTGGAATCATACAATATTTATCCTTTTGTGTCTTATTTCACTTAGCCTGTTGTCAAGGCTCATTCATGTTGTAGGATGTATCAGAACTTCACTCCTTTTTATGACTGAATAATATTCCACTGTATGTATACCACATTTTGTTTATCCAATTGTCAACTGATAGAAACTTGGGTTATTACCACCACTTGGGTTAAGGATTAAGAGTGAAATTATTTTTATTTTTCAATATCACACACACATGCATTGGTAACATTTTTTCTTTTTTTCCTATTAATGTAAAATTACCCGTGTGGCTACATTTTAATTAGAATAATTAATACTGCAGACAAGAGTCAAATAAACCAAGAAAGCTCCTGCCTCCTCAGTGTTTTTGTTAGTTCCTCTAACTAGAATGCTCTTCCCCAGTTATTTTCATGAATCGTTCCCTAACTTCTAGGTTTTTGCTCAAATGTCACCTTATCAATCAGTTCCTTCCCAGGCCCAGCATATAAAATAGCACCACTGCCACCACCACGTCTCCTTGCTGGGCCCATCCCTGCCTTGCATTTCTATCCCCTTGACTTTATTCTTCTCCATGGTCTTTCCCACCATCCCATACTATACATCTACTTTTTTGCTAATTGTCTGTCCTTCCCATGAGGACAGTGATTTACTCAGTTTTGAACCATGTATGGCACCTAATAAGCACTTAACAAATATTTGTTGGTGAAATGGCTGAATTACAGTTTAACAGCTATGTGGTAAGAAGAGAGTTACCTTCCCCACTGGTCTCTCCCTTACTAAATCCTCCTCCACCCTCACACACCAAAACCAAGCGAGTGTCAAGAAATTACAGTTGGCAAGCATCTGCCTGGGAGTTTACTCTGACTAAAAGTGTTTTGTCTGAGATTAAGTCCAACTTGGATCTCTCCAAAGCCCTGAATATGTTTGTCACCTCTAGAGCTTCCCCTAGGAGGCAGCACATTATAGCACAATGATGTTCAAATACCCAAAACCAAAAAACCTGTTGCCCTCGAGTCGATGATTCCAACTCACAGCGACCCTACAGGACTGAGAAGAACTGTCCCATAGGGTTTCCAAGCAGCAGCTGGTAGATTCGAACTGCCCAACTTTTGGTTAGCAGCCAAGCTCTTAACTGTTGTGCCACACAGCACTATTAAACTGCAGATTCTTAGGCCCATCCCTGCAAATGTGGGAATGAGATCCAAGACTCTGCACCATGGGTGAGTCTAAGTAAAGACCTGAGGACCACATTTGCAGAATCACTGGGTTTATTCTGGAATCAGACAGACCTTTATTCAGATCCTAGCTACACTGTTTACCCACTGTTCAGCCAGTGGCACTGGGTGAAGACTTCATTTTACTCAGCATCAATTTCTCACCTGTAAAATGAGGATAACATTACCTGACTTGCAGGTTTGTTCTAAGACTAATGCAAGTAAAGTACTTAGCACAGTGCCTGGTACACAGCATTTGCTCAATAAATGATAGCTATTAGTTTCTGTCTCTTGCTATCTCCTGCCTTGAGACTCCTGAAGAAGCATTCCTTTGCTCATGCTGTCCCTTCCAACAGGTATGGCCCTCCATTTCTTTTTTTTTTTTTTAATTTTTTTTTTTTCCCATACAAAAATTTGTACATACATTGTTATGTGACTCTAATTGCTCTCCCCATACTGTGACAGCACACTCCTCCTTTCCACCCCTGATTCCCCATGTCCATTCAACCAGCTCCTAACCCTCTCTGCCTTCTCATCTCACCTCCGGACAGAAGTTGCCCGTTTAGTCTCTTGTATCTACTTGAGCCAAGAGGCACACTCCTCACGTGTATCACTTTATGTCCCACAGTCCAGTCCAATCCCTGTCTGAAGAGCTGGCCTCGGAAACTGTTTTAGTTCTGGGCTGAAGCCAGGGGCCATGCTTTCTGGGTTTCCTTCAGTCTCAGTCAAACCATTAAGTCTGGTCTTCTTACTAGAATTTGAGTTCTGCACCCCACCTTTCTCCTGCTCCATCTGGGACTCTCTGTCGCGTTCCCTGTCAGGGCAGTCATTGGTGGTAGCCGGGCATGGCACTCCATTTCTGACTGACTCAATCTTCAAAAACAAGAACTTCTGCTTAACCTAATATTGGATATCACATTAGTTTCAGGTTTTACGTAAAGAGCCATGGAGGCAAGGAGGGGAAAAAATGGTTAAGATTAGTGTCAGAAAAGGGAGTTTAAGTCCTGGCTGCTTTCTAACTCACTGTGGTCCTCAAATCTGTTCAAGAACCAGGTCCAGCCTAGTAGTCTATGAGTGTGGGAGAGCTAGATACAAGTCCTAGTTCTGCAAATGACTTGCTATATAATTTTAGTCTAGGCCCTGGTCCTCTCTATGTCCTCTCAGTGTCCCCATCTATCCAGCGAAAGGATTCCAACTTGGACAGTCTACGAGTCTGGAAAAAGTACAGGTTCAGATTTTGTACTCAAACAGGTGTTTGATTTTGTGTGTGTGTGTGTGTGGTGAAAATATACACAACAAAACATACAGCAATTTAACAATTTCTACATGTATAATTCAGCAACATGGATTACATTCTTCCAGTTGTACAACCATTACAGCTATCCTTTTCCAAATTCGTCCACCGCCATTAACACATGGTATGGGATTTTAACAGCCAAAATACCCAAATCCCCTCTCCTCTTCAGGCCTCAGTTTCCCCATCTGTCGGGGTGGGGGGCTGGGTGGCATAGGTCTCTTTGGTCCCACTCCCAGACATCTGGGTTGGAGACTGCTCAACCAGGACTCGGGCCCCCGGCGTGATGCGTGGGGTTGAGAGTGTGCAGCCCCTCAGTCCGAGGAGCAGGGTCGGGAAAACGGGGGCGAGGGGAGGAGGCCTTTAATCCTTTTCCTGTCCCGAACCCTGCCGACCCGAGGAATTACCGCGACGCACGCCCACCTCCCATGGCCGGACTACGACGCCCGGGGCGACCACTCGTCTGGGTTTCCTCCCACGACGCCGGAGAGACGCAGGCCAGGACAACCCTAAGAGGCGCCCGCAGACCGCGTGGAGGCCGGCCCGGCCCCCTCCTCTTTTCTCCCGTCCCCTCGCCTCTTCTCACCTCTCGGTTTGCGCCGCCCCACACGATGAGGCCCCGAGGCGCGTCCTCCGCCGTACCCGGGCTGAGAGGACAAGGCGGCAAGGCAGACGGAGCCAGACTCCTGGCCGGCCTCCCTTTAACGGCTCCGGCCCTTTCCCGTCCATCGCCCAGCCCCCCGAGGAGGCGGGACCGGGTCGGAACGTAAAAGGGGCTATGCGAGGAGGCACCGGCCGAGAGGCGCAGAACGCAAACCCGGCGAGAACGCCCCGCGGCCCTGGCGGTGCGCTAGCAAGGGTCAAGGCAGCCAGCCAATAACTCCACCCTGACCAGCAAGGGTGCCGCCCCCTGACTACTTACCTCCTCGCGATTGGCTGCTCTGGGAAGAAGGGGCGGTGCGGCCGGATTTTCAAAGCTGTTCCTCTCCCGTTCTCTGAGGCGATGAATCATCTGCCAAGTGAACAGTTTATTCCTTCTTGGCTTTATCCAACGATAAAGTAGCAGTAGAGATGCGGAAGCGCTCTGCCTAGAGCTGTAAAGTGCTCTGCGTTTGTGAAGGGGCATCGTCATTATTGGCGCCCTGATTGCACAGTGGTTAACAGCTATGGTGCGCTACAGCTGCTGACCCAAGAGGTCGGCAGTTCGAATTTACCAGCCGCTCCTTGGAAACGCTGTGGGGCAATTGTACTCTGTCCTATAGGGTCACTATGAGTTCATCTCGTTATGAGGTGGAATCGACTCGACGGTAAGGGGTATCGTCATTATTACCCACGCCTTGGGACTTTAAAAATCATCTACTGCCTATTGCTGTTCCCTTCCACCCCCTTTGTAGGTGGGGAGATTGAAGCTTTGAATGGGAAAAGGTATGCTAGAAAGTTAGAGGTCTAGGGTTAAAACTCATTCTCCAGCCAAGATCCTAATAGCCAGAAGGCTGTTTTAAAAATGTAAATATAAAAATATAATTCCAATCCTTATTTAAAGCCCTCTGTGAGTTTCCATAACATTTATAGATAAAATCAAACCCCTCTTTACGCGGTCGAAGTCCTGCATGCTCTGGGCCCTGGCCTCATTTTCCTCCTCACCTTACTACTCTCCAGCCATACCGGCCAACTTATCTGCCAAGCTTGTTTTCATTTGGTACCTGAGCCCTGATTCGGGCTACTTGATTTCTTCTTGTCACTCAAGTCTCAACCTAAACGCACTCACCTCCACAAGGCGGTCCCTGACCACCCTATCTAAAGTAACTAGCCAGTCACCTTCTGTGATTAAATTTCTTTCCCCCACGAAGTGGCCATTATCTGATATTGGGCATGTATTCATTTCTTCATTCCTTTCCTTAATGTTGTCTTCGTGGGCCCACTAGATAGGGGTGGAAGAAGATGAACCTCTTCACAGTCATTTAAGGAACTCCCTTTCATATCTAGAGCTGATGTCCAAGTTTCTGTCACCAGGCTCAGAGATTCCAAAGGTCACAGCCATATCAGGAATCAGAACACCCTGATTCTACTTCTCACGCTGCCCCTTATGACTGGAAACAAACCACTATACCACAAAGGCATCAATTTTGTAACCTTTCCCAGGGTAGTTAATGGCTTGGCACACATAGTCCTAAGAGAATTAAGTAAAACAGTGGAGGTAAAGTACTTTGCCAACCAACCGTCTATAGGCTGCATAACAACCAGAGTAGCTACAGTTGGCACTTTATAGATTGTCTGCACAAAACTCTGCACATTCATTATTTTATTAAATCCTCACAGCAACCCTTTGAGGAGGGACTATATTATGATCTTCCTTTTATAGGTGAGGAAATGGGACTCAGAGATGTTAGGTGACTTGCCTAAGGTCCTATACTTAATATGTGAGAGAAACATGATTTTAACCCAATTATATCTAATGTAAAGCCCTCTCTCTTAACCACTAGGCTATACTACTTCTCACTGTGCTATTCACGTGTGAAAATCTACTCCCATCCTTGCTTGTAATGTTGTTAGCTGCCCTCCAGTTGACTCTGACTCATGGAGACCTTGTGTTCCCCAGTCCTGCATCATCCTCATGACCAGTAGCATGTTCTAGTTTATTGTTGTGGCTATTGTGCCAATCTGTCTCACTGAAGGTCTCCCAGGCCCTCGTTGGCCCTCTACTTAACCAAACATGAAATTCTCCTCCAGTTGATTTAGGAAATAATATTGGAGTTGTGGTCCTTGAGCATAGAGAATGTGACCCAGCTGGAGAAGGGCTCATAAGGACTCACAAGGACACATCAACTGGGCCCTGAGGTATAAAGACAATAGCTAAGATAATCTTGGAAAATATCTTTTAGGGAAACTTTCACATAAAGCTAATCAAACAGAACACAAAAGACTTTCTACTCTTATCTTTTTCTATTAACATTTAGTGAATAAAAAATTTGTTGGACCAGTGAAGACCCTCCTGACTGAAACTTGTACCAATGATTGTTAAGAAAGACAACTCAAAATGTAGGATCACAGTTTCTAGCCAATCTGAAAAGGCTAAGCTTTCAATGGTTTTGCTCATTTGTATTTGTAATGTTAATATATACTGATGGCTCTGTAATGGTTCTTGGGACTTGGACAGACATGGCTGTGGCAGCATGCTTGTCCGTTTTCCCATTCTTGCCTATTCTGTAATATTCTTTGGACTCTGGGCGGACATGGCTGTGGCAACATACTTGTCCGTTTTCCCTCTCTTGCCTATTCTGTAATACTCTTTGGACTGGGGCAGACATGACTATGTTGGCATGCTTGTCCGTTTTCCCATTCTTGCCTATTCTGTAATATTCTTTGGACTTGGGCAGACATGGCTCTAGCAGCATGCTTGTCCATTTTCCCACTTTTGTCTGTTCTGTGATATTTCCTTGGACTCAGGCAGACATGGCTCTGGCAGCATGGTTGTCCGCTTCCCACTTCTGCCCTTTTGAATATATGCCGAATAAAACTTCCTTTTTGCTCTACTAAACTTTGTGATGTTTTTCCCCTACAACACAGTGATTGACCCCTCCTGATGACACGTCCAAAGCAAGCTAGTCGGACAGTGTTTTGTTGTGATCCATAAGGTTTTCATTGGCTAATTTTCAGAAGTAGATCACTAGGCCTTTCTTCTTAGTCTGTCTTAGTCTGGAAGCTCTGTTAAAACTTGTCCACCACGGGTGACCTTGCTGGTATTTGAAATAACGGTGGTGTACCTTCCAGCATCATAGCAAACGCAAACCACCACAGTAGGACAAACTGAGAGATGGGTGCATGTAATAGACACCAATAAAGACTGGTTGAATTTAATAATGGCTATCATTTTCTTTCACTTATTCCATATGTTTTACTCTACATTACAGATGAGAAAACTGAGGCTCAGGATATTAAGTTACTTACCAAGTTCATGCAGCTGACAAGTAGCAAAGGGGGTTTCAAACTGGGAGCTGTCATATGCCAAAACCCAAGAACACGAGCTATGCCCCAGTGCAAGCAGAAGGTGCTATAGAGGAAGCTTTAGGTTAGTCATTGGTGCCTTTCTCCCTCCCAATTCAGCATCTTAGGCTGCTATTTAATCTTGTGGCCCTCCCACCCCAATCACTCCCCACCACCACATACACATCCCCAGAGACCGCAGGGAGTTGGACTTTGTTTAATCTGCCATGTTTACCTGACCTTCATTAATGCTCCAGTTCTCACCAGCAGGACGCTAAGGGGTGAAACAAATAACCAAATTCCTCCTAAGAAAGAGCTAGCTAATAATCTGCTTTTCCTTAATAATAGCAGGTCAGCAACCCAGCCAGCCAGAATACGGATCTCTTAACCCTGCCGACTAAGGCTGATCATTTTCCCTTCTGTTGGTCTTAGGGTTCGCTGAGATGGCTGGCAGCCCGAGGACTAGGAAGTCCAGTATTTTCTTCCACATATATAAACATTACACTGTCCCAAGTGCTTTCCCAAAGGGTAATTAACTGAGAGCATTATAGATCATTTCATTTTATTGTAGGTCATTTCTGGTTAGGTAACACTTTGGTACTCACTGCCTCAGCTTTTCTTGGCTACCTCCTCTTCTCAAGTGGGACACATCCCTTCTCCTGAGGTCTCCTGACTCATTATTTAATGGGCAAGTCCTGATCTGCTGCAATTCACTATTCATTCTCACTGCTATTAGTGTTTTTCTTTTTTAATTTAATTTGTTTGTTTTTGGAAGCAGGCAACACATACAAAGAGTAAAGGTCAAAAGGTCAAAGTGGATTTGTTTACTCTTTATATATGTTGCCTGTTTACAGTGAAAAGTAAATCTCCCTCCCACCCTATCCACTCTTAGCCCATGTATATCCCTAGAGGCAAACACAATTCCAGTTTTCTGTGTTGCCTTCCAGGTTTATTGTATACCAAACCCATTGTCATTAAGTTGATTCCGACTCATAGCGACCCTATAGGACAGAGTAGAATTGCCCCCACAGGGTTTCCAAGGAGCGCCTGGTAGATTAGAACTGCCAACTTTTTGGTTAGCAGCCGTAGCTCTTAACCACTATAACTTTTTCAGTTCTGGCTTCACATTAGAATCTCTTGGGCAATTTTGAAAAGATACTAGTGTTTGGGCCCTACCCCTAGATATTATAATTTAATTGGTATAGGATGGGCTCAGGCATTGATCTTTTTTAAAAGCCTCCTGGGAGATGCTAATACACACCTAGGGTTGTCAAACCACGGTTCTATGCATATACAAATACACACACATGTATACGTATTTTACAAAAGGAGCATACAATATACACTTCTACATTTTTAAAACATTATTATACCTTGAAGATTGTTCCATATACCAGTGCATAAAGAGCTGATGTTCTGGCTGTCTATTGCTGCTTAACAAATCACTCCAAAACGTAATGACTTGAAACAATAATAATCATTTTATTATTTCTCACCATTTCTATAGGTTAGGAATTTGGTAAGAGCTTGGCCTCGGGGTTTTCCATGCACCTGTGCTCAGACAGTAGCTAGAGCTGGGCCAGCTTGGGGCTGAAGGCAGCTGAAGGCTGGTTGGACATCTCTTTCTCTTCATTTCTCGGGGACTCTCCTTGTGCCTCTCTGTGTGGGCTAGCCTGGGCTTCCTCACACTATGGCAGCCTCAGGCAGTCTGACCGCTTAAATGGCTGCTGAAGACTTCAAGAGCCAGTGTTCTCATGAGCAAGGTGGATGCTGTATAACCTTTTCTGATCTGGTCTCAAA